AAAAAGTGTAAAAACGCAGGCAAATTTGCCTGTATTCTACTACAATCTAAGGGATAGTCAAAGTTTAGTAATTATCAATGTCAATATATAGTCAGTTCATTCGACTTTGCCTGTTCAATATCCATTTGGTCGTATTCTTGAGATAGATATCTTTCTGACAAATTTCTGCAAATATTTTTTCTATAAAAACAATAATCATAATAAATACTAAATAATTCGCATTACTCAAATTTACATTCACATAATAAATGAATACCTTAAGTAAATGGTCCACCACTAGTTTGAATTTTTTCTCTTCTGCTTCAACTTCTGATTCACATGTTAAAGTATCTTCGTATTGCTCTATATACCATTGTAAAAGATCTTTGCGATATGCTATTTTAAATTAATGAAAGATAACTTAATTTTCTATTCAATAATTATGGACATATGGTTAAATTTTTTTGGCTTTATAGTTAAACATACTGCAATTTTCTGAGGGCAATAATTTCGTAAGAATTATATCTTGAATCCTAATAAGTTCTTCTCTCGTAATCCTCATTTCTTGACTTTGTTGATTCATAATCATCCTTTTTTGACTCTCTTAATTTGTAAACATCATTTCTTAACCTCTCAATACAATGTCATCATGATAAACATGAATTATAGACTGTTGTATAAGTTTAGCTGCCTCGTTCACAAAATCCGGAATTACCTATATAAAACAAATAAATCTTCATTTTTTTTAATTAAAAATCCATTGCTACAATTCCAACCTACTTCGATCTTGAAATGAGTCTTTGCAATAGCTTCAGACAATCAAATTTGTCTAACCATAATATGGTAGGAATTTTGTGCTATACTGAAAGCATCATCTTGACAGAGTTGTTTATATTTTTCAACTAACAATCTTTTAGAATCTTGAGAAATTTTTTCAAAAAAAAAAAAAAATTTGTCAAAATATGGCATCATGATAAATATCTGTACATTGTATACAACAAACCTTCAGTTTGAAAGTTCTTGCATAGCAAATATATCATTGAAGTGTTTCAATATCATAGGGTGGATTAATATTCTCATCACCTCTTCTGTGGATTCCTACAATATGTTCAGCTATCATCTGATCTATTTTTGGTCTGCATTCGTCTAATACTACAAAAAATAGATCAAATTGAGACATGATTGGCACTACATCGAAATATTTCGCTAATAAAATAAAAAAAATTAACTTGAACTAACCCTAAATAGTATTAAAAAAAATATTAAATTTGTACATTACTCTAAGTGACCACCATTCAGATTTGCTGCCGCTAAAATTGAAGTTCGAGCATTCAATGCCGTATGAATTCCAGCTTTTGCAATAGAGATTGTCTGCTATTCCATAGCGTCATGAATGGCAACTTGATCAGAAATATTTATTTTATCAAATTCCAATAGTACAGATCTCCTAATTGAATGAAAATACGTATAAATATTTATGTGATATAGTTAATAATCAATGAAATATTATATTGCTTATGTTATCCGCTAGCATTAAAGCATCTGCCTCTATGGTAAAATCACCTGACTCTTCGTAGCTGTGGTCAAACCAGCAGCAGATAAGTTTTTTCCAGAAGTAAATATAGCACGAGGATGTATCTGACATACATATCTACATAATTTTAATAATAATAAAAGTTACAAATTTGACCGTATAAACAGTGTTTAAAATTCAATGTTCCAGTATTCTCTGAGAACATATAAAATGTTTATGAACATAAATTATTAGAAAATTTTTTAATATTAAAAAATTTTTAACTTTCTAATTTTGAGAACATTAAGAATTCAAAAAATGCTTTTGTGAGAACATAAAATTAAATTTGGATTATTGATCTTCGTACCATCT